TTAGAGTTAAGTTGACTTAACTGACAGAAAGTTAGTATGTGTGTACACACCCTCAGGTAGCAGCCTCCAGAAGTGGTGAATGAGGAGCTGCGAGCCAGGCAAATTTGACTCCCGGGTGTGGGAGATGGACTCAAGCAAGGGTGAACTGTGTAGTATTGACTGAGTGAAGTTGGCAGAAGCAGATGGAGGCAGGATGACAGTGGGCAGATTGTGTAGGGCCCAGCAAGTGAGGACAAAGGGCTTTGATTTGGTGCAGTGAGTTGTACCAAAGACGGTGGAGGAATTTGAGGACAGTCTAGGTGTGGTCAGAGCAGCAGGTGAGACGGATTAAGAGTGATATTTCAGGACTGGGGAAGGACAAGGATGGCCTTGAAGAGGAGGGGAAAGTGGTTACAGTTGTCATGAATGGAACTGGAGAACTTATTCTGGCCAAAGGGAATGCAAACCAAAGGATTGGTTCCTGAGAGTGGCTGGGACAGATGGTTTCTCATCAGGCATAACAAGGGCATGGGCTTGGGAACAAGTGACCATGACATAAACAAGAGTGGGGAGCTACATCCCCTAACTGCCCCTGTACACACTCTCAGTTAAGCCATGGCAGCTACCCCCTCTTTCATTGAAGAGGAAGATCATCCCCTTAAGCTCCCATTTTAACATCCTCAGGGTACAGGTCTCCTAGAACGGGTCAGGGAGGTGTGGAGGCCATGGTCTCCATTCCCTCCAGACAAGTCCCAGGAAACCAGCTTGCCACAGGTGCTGGGGAGAGCGGCCGATGTACCCCATTCACCAAGTAGATCCCCCAGGATCCTGCTGCTTCCTCCAAGAGCAATTGTGTTACCAGATGGAGGGTTAGCACTGAGCGTGGGAGGGAACAGACTGATTGTTTTAGCTCAGTGATCTGAATCCGGGTGCTATGACACCCTGGGGTGCCTTGAGATCCTTTCAGGGGAGCAAGTGCTCCATAGCGTTATCACTGTTGGTTGTGCAAACATGATTCGCAAGATAAACTTCAGATGGGAATCCATATTGTTAAAAATATTCTGCCCTGTTGTGGTCTTTCTGAGTGCTTTTGCAACAGAATTGCTCTGCTGTTTTCCTAGGTGGAAAACAAGTAAAAACTAAGATCCGAGGCGGGCTTGACTCTATTGAGGGGTGCCTCAAGTCTCAAAGGTTGAGAACCGCTGCTTTAGCTGTTGTACAGCAAAGAGCACTAGGATTTAGTGATGATATCTGTGGCAGCAGAGCTGGAAATCCCACTAAGGTTGCAAGCCTGAGGGGCACCGGGGGGAGAGTAGAATCGTCAATGTAGTGGCAGATCTTTGGGAAATTCCTGGGTTGCTCCCATACGGATCACACTGAGCAGGGGTCTGTATCACAGAACCACTGCACCAGCTGGCTTCTTTGCTGGAAATCTCAGCAGAGAGGCAAGAGTGCCATGGGCAGAGGCAGAAGGACACCTTTCTTCTTCAAGGTGGTCCCTCCAGGCCAGAGCTGAAGCACTTTGGCAGCGCAGAGATGGGGAGTCTTGTTTCATCCCTGCTTAAGCTGAAGCCTGAACAAAAGGCTTAATTTTCTGAAGTTAACGTTCACAAGCTCTTCATTCAGAAGAGAAACCTGCTGTTATTTATTCCAGACATAAATAATTAAAGCAACAGCCACAGGAGAATATGCTCCATAAGGCTGGATTTGTGGAGTTTGCGTAAATCCCAATAATTTCCATGGCAACCTAACTGTGATGTCCTATATACAGGAAAGGGGCTGTGATGCAGGATCAAACAAAAGAAGAAAGCTGCTACGTAAAACCAAGTAGATTAGGAAATGTAGAAAATTGTCTCCTATATAAATGTTACCAGTCTCTTTCTCAGAATTAGTGTGATCATCCCTCTTTAAAGGTCCCATATTGTTCCCATGACAAATCTGTCACTGAAGGCAGTGGGAGAAGGATCTAAGAGCTCACTTAAAAATAACAATTTTATGAGCAGATCACATGAGGTCACAACAGCCTGGTTCTCTGCCGTGGGCTGCTTGGGATATCTTCTGGCATCCCTGTGTCTCTGTTTCACCATTTTATAAGAGGAATGCTCTTTCATCAAAATTTGAAAAAGCTATGAGATCTTTGCGTAACAAATGCTTTATGGGTGCTGAGTGGTATTAAGAACGCGGTAACAATATTTTAGTGCATAATCATTGAGATTCTATTGAATTCCTGGACTCTTTTCCAGAAGACTTGGAGTTTCTAAAGCCCTGGTTTCTAAACTAGAAAATTCAGCATATCTATCCATTTGCACGTACAATTCTCATCCTGATGCATGCAATAGGCATTTGGCCTGCTGGCTGGACTGGCTCCTTATAAAACAGGGGTGGGCAATTATTTGGGCCCAGAAGCCACATGGGGAGTTTTGATGAGTTGTCACGGGCTGGGCCAGAGCACCCCACCCGCTGCCCGCAACAACACACTAAAACTCCCTATGTGGGATGGGGCCATGGGTAGGTGGGTGGGAGCTGTGTTTGGGAGTGAGACGGGTAGGCAAAGCCGGAGTCACGGCGTGGAGTTTCGGGGGTGGCCCCTGCCTTGTAGGGGTGTGGGGAGGGGAGTGTGTGTGTGTGTGTGTGTGTGTGTGTGTTGGGGGGGGGCATGTTGCCTAGGCTCTAGGTCCCAGGATCCAGCCAGGGGTGAGGGGGGGAGAGAGGAGGGGGCAGGGGGCGTATGCAGCAGAGCTCATTTGGGCAGTGCAGTCTGTGGCTGCCCCCACAGCGCTCTGCATGGGGCTGAACTCCACCCAGGACAGTCCACTCCTCACTCCAGCCCATGCCTGCCAGTGCAGCCCCAGCCAGCATGCACAGCTTACCAGCATGGCCTCTCCGGGTGCAGCTGCCCAGGTGCTGCTCCACTCCCCTGTCCTTCAGCGGTGGCTCCTGCCCCAGCTGTGCTGTTCTGGGTGGGGAGGAAGTTTGAGCTGGGTAGCTCCTGTCCTAGAGCACTGGGCCCCAGCTCCAGCCCCCAGCTGCCTTCTACCTACTGCGCCCCACTGGGGCAAGAGCCGCTGGGCTGAAGCTTCCTCTCGGCCCAGAGCAGCGCAGCAGGGGCAGGAGGAGGACCTGCTGGAGGCAAGGGGAGCAGACCAGCACCTGGGCAGCTGCGGTAGTACTAGGAGCAGCTGTGCTGATAAGCTGTGCATGCTGGTTGGGGCCGGGCCAGCAGGTGCGGGCTGGAGCATGGTACGGGGTGCTCCAGACAGGGCTTGGCCCCATGCGGAGCCCCAGGGGGCAGCTGTAGGTTGGTTCCAATCAATTAGTGGGTGCCCCCCCGTGGGCCAGATCCAATTAGTTGGTGGGTGCCCGCAACCCCCACGGGCCAATTCCAATCAGTTGGCAGACCAGATTCAGCCTGTGGGCTATGTTTTACCCACCTTTAATAACTATCTGATTTGCAAGAGCAAATGGATCCATATACAAACTTGGATACCACTTTGAAAAAGCTGTGCTTAGTACTTAAGCGATTGTTGCCATTCCCTTACAAAGGGTTGATCAACAGCTAATAAGATACGTATAGTACCTTTAGTCCTGTAGTATTCATGTAGCTGTTGTGTCCAAACTGTGGTAGAGGGTCTAATGAAATATAGGATAGTAGTTCTCAGCCTTTTTGGATTTGAGGCACCCCTTCCTGGACTTGGGCACCCTCCATAACACTTGTGAATTAAGTGGCTCAATTAAAAAAAGTAATTGATATATTATGGGTGCTTACCTCCTTGCAGAGGAGCTGGGTGGTGGGATCATCCAGGCAGAGACAAGCCTGAGGCTGGTTGATCTGATTCATTGATCTGCTTATCTCTTAACACAGCCCTTATCCCCTCACACCTCTTGGCAGCCTAAAGAGGATCTGGTGGTACCCCTGAGTTCCTTGGCACCCTGGATGAGAATTGCTGAGATAGGAGGATTTAGTGCCTACACTGAAGATATGAAAACTTTAAAATTATAAAATGACTGAGGGGGATGGAATTAATATTATCCCTGACCAGAGCCACAGAAACTGAGGCGGTGGGGGGAGGAGAAGAGGAGCAGGGAGCTGTAGAAAAGCTGAGGTCTTTTTTAACTTCCTATAAAATGTAATATAGTCATTTCCCTTCTCATTCTGTGGGTGATTCAAAAACCCACAGAAAAGGTTTTAGCTTCTCTTCGTTTCTGTACATTTTTAAGCTGATTGTACAGGACCTTTCTAAGTTCTTCCCTATTACATTTTATAGGAACTTTCCATATGGGAATAAATAGAGGGGTTTAACAAGGGAAACCAGTTTGAGTATGATTAAGAGTGGATTTAGGTTAGATATTAGGAAGAAATTTTTCACAGTAAGGGTGGCCAGGATCTGGAATGGGCTTCCAAGAGAGGTGGTGCTTCCACCTAGCTTGGATGTCTTCAAGAAGAGGCTAGATAATCCCTTGGCTGGCGTCATCTGACCTCGGTCCTCTTTTCTGCCAGGGGCAGGGGGTCGGACACGATGATCCATTGTGGTCCCTTCTGACTTCACAATCTATGGATCTATGAATCTATGAAATCATTGCAATGGTTTTATTTTGTCAAGAGGGCTGAGCTAGTGACGACTGTCAGTATTTTAACAAGGCTCCCACAAAATTCTTGTTCTTAGCTTGTGGCAAAACTCATGTTTCTGGGGGAAGGGGTATAGCAGACAGGAGGAATATAGGACTGAAAAATCCATTTATCTTATTTCCCATGCAAACCCAAGCCATTTTCCCATAACCAAAAAATAAAAAAAAGTTTTTTAAACAAGTATAACAAACAAACTTCAATTAATCTGCACATCGTTGCATGTGTTTATACTTTATTCCTGGAAAATACAGTGGCCCAGATGTTCAGAGGTTCCACTGAAGTTAGTGGAGCAGTGTCCATCTACCCCAGTTAAGGATACAAAGACTGCATTGATCCTAACGCAACGTAAGGGGAGGACCTTGAAGACGAAGCCAGGAGTATGCTGGGAAATGCTGTTAAATATACCCAGCATCGTGGAAGCTGACCAATTTCAGAAGTAAAGGAATGGCTGCTGTTCTTTATGAGCCCCCAGAGTAAGCTGTTTTAGACAGGAGGGTCCATTTGGGGGTGGAGGGTACACAAGAAGGAGTGACTCCAACACAGGAAAAGCAGACACCTTCCTGGCACGATATCAGTGGAATTTTTATGAGGTGCCCACATGGCCGTTTTTGTGCTTGCCACGGGCTCGAAGCAATGAGATGGACCTACCCTAACCCTGGAATCCAAACACCTCCGAGCACTGTGGACGTTCGTACCTGGATCTTTGCAGGTTGAGCTTCTCTCTAACACGCACTGGAAGCTTGAGGATAAAGGGCTTGGCATTAGCAGAAGCATAATGTGGAACATAGAGAACGTGAGAGTACCACTATACTCAGCTCTGGTGAGGTCTTACCTGGAGTACTGAGTCCAGTTTTGGGCACTGTATTTTAAAATATAGGTAAAGAAACTAGATAAAAGGGCTGGGGTGCAAGCCACTTGAGGATAGATTGAGGGAACTAGATGTGTTTAGTTTGGAGACCCTAATAGCTGCTTTCAAGTGTTTGAAAGGCTGCCAGAAAAAGGAGACAGAAAAATTGTGCTCCTTTGCCACAGGGGACAGGACATGAGCCAGCGGGCTTAAACTGCAGAAAAGCAGATTTACTTCAAATGTGTGGGAACACTTCATAACTGTAAGAGCATTAGGACAGTGGAACAAATAGACTAGGGAGCTCGTGGACCCTCCTGTGTTGGGCGTCTACCAGAGCTGGCTGGAAAAGCATCTCTCTAAAATGGGTTGGAAATAGCCCCTCCTACATCTGAGCAGAGGGTGGACTAGATCTGTCATGCTCAATCTTTTTGCCCCGGAGGCCACATGGATGGTGCCTGGTTCCTCCCTGGGCCAGATCCAGCTGGTGAGCCTGATCTGGCTGCACAGACAGGGGAGGGAGGCAGCCCAGCCCCTAATTTGGCTGTGCAGGGGGGAGAGGGGTTGTGACCTGGCCCCGATCTGGCCAGATGGAAGGAAAGAGGGTATAGTCTGACTCTGACCTGGCTGTGTGGGACTGGGGAATTTGGCAGTGGGAGAGGGGTGGCGGTATTAATTGCCACTGCTCCCAGACTGCCAAATGTCCTGACCCTTGGGGAACCCTGTGGGCCAGATGCCACAGCTCGGTGAGCTGGATTTGGTCTTCAGACCAGGGGTTGAGCACCCCTGGACTAGATAATTCTGAGGCCTTACCAACCTTTTGACTCTCTGATGTGAGCTAGTCAATTCACACCTCCCAGGGTTACCATTTTAGGCAGTTTGCAGGCACAGGCAGCTATCCCTACATCTGTTTACATCCAGGTTAACCTTTTTTTAAGGGTTTTTTCTTTTTCTTCTTTTTTTTGCAGTCACACGGACTAAAGTATATTTTATCAGCAATAAATTATGGCTTATGGTTTAGCAACAAGGGACTGGGAGCACACAGGTCTTTGAAAACAGCAAAGCAGGTTGCTGCTTATGGAGGAACCCTTTGGCTCATTTAGTGCATATTTATTCAGGTACTAAAATAATTTTCTTGACAGGTCAGCATCTTTGCAGCACTTTAGTCTTCAGAGTTTCAGCTCTTATGCAGGCTGGTGGGACTTGTTGGACAACAGATATTTCAGTAGTCTCCACAAATCTCCACCTACAGTTCATTGCATGGATCTTTGGAGTCTGAACAAGTTGCTCAAGGCCAGTGGAGGATTTGCTTGCTCTTTGGTTGGTCCCTTGGGTTTACTTAACGGTCAGTTCTAGTTGATCCTGCCTTAGATGGCTCCACTTAGTTCAGTGAGGACTGGCCTGCTTACTGGAGAGAAAAGTAAGCAGAGCCAGTCCCAGTGACTAGCTGGAAGGTGAGTCCAGTACAGCTGTACTGGCAGGACGGCTGAGCATAGAGCTTTGTATCTCACTGGCCCCGAGGGTAAAGTGAAGTGAGGGAGGTGGGTGCTGTAGGCTGCTGTGCTAGCAGGAAGGCTGTGCCTAGCTTATGTTATGATGAGGCTTTGAGCAGCTGCCCGTGAGAGATAGTGTTTCATGGCAACCTTTGGAAGCATTTCTTCCTTTGCTGTCACTGATATCACTTTCCACCAATGTAGGTCTCAGTGCTTTGGCTCATCGGGCAATGCACTGTCCTTGTAACTCCTCTTCCTCCTTGTACAGCCCACAAGCAACTTCCTTCAGACCCTTCTTCCAAACACTTCCAGAGGAGAAGCCTTCCTGCAATAACCAACCGTGCTGTGGTATAGGGGCAAAAAAATCTGAGCCCTTCTGAGGCTGTCATTGACTCATGCAATTTGAGACTAGATTTTCAGAGATGCTGAACTCAACTCCTCTGAAGATTTGGGCAGATTAACTTTGTGTGCCTGGAATGCACCCTCTAGCCAATGTGTAATGTCAGATCCTTGAGGCAGGATTCATAGTTTTGCCTGTGTGTTGCACTAGGCCATGCAGACTGTCTGGCAGGTTTCCACGCCACAGGAGATAGCATGTGAGAAGAGAGAGGCTTTTTTTAGCAGCCCTGCCATTGTTTGGTGTGGATGATATTTGATATGTAGTTTAAAACCTGTGTTGTAAATTAACCTTCAAATTTAAGACCGGGCCAGGATATGAAGGGACAGTAATGAAAAATAATGTTTCTAAAACCTCAGCAAGCTTGTTTTCTAGACTTTTATTGATATTGCACATGCTTACAGGAGTAGAACAACAGTAAGCAGGATCTGCATAGTTATATCATATAAATATGCAAAGGTTATACTGCAATTATTTTTTGCAGTCTTATAATTAATTTAATCGTTGTATCTAAATTATTAAATGCATTGTTTGAGACTCTTGAATCAGGGGTTAATCCTACCTTCTTTGTGCATCCCAAAACTCAGTTACAGTTTTGGGGCATGCCGGGTTTTCGAGATCAGGCCTTTAGACTGTTACTGTAGGCTGGAGAAAAAGTGAGAATTGTAAGAGCCACTAATATTTTCCCATCTCTTTGTTTAAGGGCAATTACAGCCTTTTAGTGCAGCCTTGATAGGTTTGGGAAGAGATGGTGAAATTTACGGGAAAGTGACTTAGCCAAATGATTGCCTATGATCTCATTATAGTAATGGTACTTTGCTTCATAACAAGAGGAGATTATGGGAAATTACAAAGTAAAATGGAAGGAATATTCTTGCTGGTAGTTTGAAACAGAAAACTTGGGCCCAGATCTTCAGTTGTGGCTGGAAAAGCACACATGGAAATGAAAGGGCTTTGAGCCTCCCACAGCCCTAGGCCTGTTTGTTATGATTAAGTCCATTCACAAAGCTGGAGCAGCCCAAGGGAAGTGGCACCCTCATAATTAACCTCAGAGAACTGTTTTGGCAGCCAGGTTCAAAAAGGGATTAGAGGAATTCATGTAGGACAGGTACATTAATAGCCATTGAGCGTGTCTACATGAGATGCTTTACTGCGCAGTAGACTAATCTACTGTGCAGTAAAGCACCACCAGCTACATGTGAGCACCATTTACTATGCAGTAAATTAGTCTACTGTGCAGTTAGCTACTACCTGTAAATCATGGGCGAGTGGTGCTGCCTTAGTCAGGGGGGCATGTGCCCCACCAGCGACCAGTCAGTGACTGGTGGGGAGGGTCCACTGTGGCCAATCTCACCAACCAGGAAGTGACTGCGGTGCTCCCGGAAGTGGCTGTGGTGCTACATCTGGAGCTCCCACTCCCCGACTGGCACTCGCAATGGGGGAACCAGTGCTTTGGTCTGCTCCCCTGCCCATTGCCTAAGTGAGGAGCATGGCTGGTCAGGGTGTGCACCAGCGCTCTCAGGGGGTGCACGTGTACCCCCTACATATCGCCACTGCTGTAAATACAGGTAGTAAAATAAGTGTATCGTACATACTGTGCAGTAGCGCATGTGTAGACACTGACCAGGAGCAAATTTGCTCCCAGCCAGCCCCAACACCAGGGGGCCACCGGGGATGGGGAATTCCCCTGGTCCTGGCGCTGCTCAGCTCCTCGCTCCTCCCAGGAGCTCGGACCAAGCAGCACTGGGGTGGGGTAACTCTCTACTTCCCTGCCCTATCAGGGGCTAGCTGGAAGCTGTCCCAGAAGCAGAACAGCTTCTGGTTAGTCCTTGGCTACACAAGGAAGCTCCTTTGGGTACTGGGCTTGTCCCCATGTACATGGGGTTTGTCCATGTACATGAAGCTGCCTTCCTGCCCTTTGGGCAGGGGGCTGGGCCCAATGGTCTCATGAGGTTCCCTCTAGCCCTAACATCTATCAATGAATGAATCTATGAACGAGAGCTCTGCAGTGGCAGGTATCTTCTTGTCCCCTTCACATCAGGACCCCTCCTGATGTGCAGCAGCCCAGGAGACAGCTGTTGCTGCAGCGGCAGAGCTTACCTGGCCCCAGGAACGTGGGGATGGGTCTGTGCTCCCTGCTAGTCCCTAGGTTAGCACCCTAGGGGAGCCTGGAGCTCCCCCTGGCTGCTGCAGGAAGCCAGAGCACAATGGGAGCAAATTTGCTCCAAACAGGGAGCACATGTAGATGCTCCCAGGGAAGACTTACTGCAGAGTATTTTACTGTACAGTAAGCCTCTGTAGCATTAATAGCATGTGTAGACATGCCCATTAAATAGAACACTCGGGATGTATATTCTGACATCCCTGAAGCAGTGATGGGGGATGCCAGGGATGGCATATCAGGGGATGAATCACTCTAGACATGCCCTGTTCATATACTCTAATCCCTTTAAAGCATCTACTCCTGCTACTGTCAGAGACAGGCCTATTCTAATATAATAAAAACTGTGGCACTTCAGGCTGTGTGTCCGTCTGTCCGTAATGCTCCAGGCCAGCTGCACATGTGCCACCCACAGGGTGGGCAGTGATTGGCCCGGATCATTGGGGACAAACGGACACACAGACAGAGGGTAAGGGCGGTTGGGGGCCAGGGAGCGGGGCAGGCGGTCGGGTTGCATGGCACACGGAGGAAGAGGTTCCAGGGCATGTGGCAGGATGTGTGGGACGCGCAGGGGCAAA